ATGTATAACCGTTGCACAATTTTACCCACTCTCACACCTCTCGGTAGAAAGAGTGATTTTGCCCAATTGACTCATTCGAGACCAAATGGGTAGGCAAATTAGCTCAAGCAACTAGGGTTCAAGTCGGGTAATTACTCTCTCGAGGTTTAACCCTTTAATTGGGACTATCAATTCTCTTGAGTCCATCCCAATTCCTTGTTGGGTCAATTTTGGAGACTTAGGCTCTCTCTCTCAACAAGAGCCAAGTCAACTTAGCACAAACCAGTGTTTGCAACCACCAATTCCTAAATTAAACCATAAAATTGACCCAAATACAAACACCCATAGTCAATCTAACCTTAAATCACAACACCCATCAATTACCCACACTAGGGTTGAGCCACAACCCTATCTAATGGGTTTAGCTACTCATGCTTGAACAAGAAAATAGAGAAATAGATGAAGAACAAGACATATTAATTAAATGCTAAATTTACAAGAATCTATCGTTAATTCGAAGCTAAGATGCCAAAAATGGCTACAAAATAGGTCTCATGAGCGCAACTCAACGTCTGGAATTAACTGATGACCTAAAAATGGTAAAATGTTCTATTTATACTAGGCTGGAAAAACTGGACAAAAATACCCCATGCGGGATCAGTGCGGGCCGCATGAAATGTACTGCGGCCGCACTAGGCTCTTGAACTTCAACTCTGGGCTCTCTGAACTTGGGCTCCGCGGACCGCGTAGGATGGACCACGGCCGCAGAGGTCTCTACTACGGTCCACACAGATATGACCGCGGACCGCGCAGCTTGGATCAAGGCAGAATTTACCTCTCTGAATCTCTCTTCCGCGGACCGCACCAAATGGTAGTGCGGCCGCGGAGACTCCACCGCGGACTGCGAAATGTGTACCGCGGCCGCGTTGCCTTAAGCCCATTTTAGCCATCTCTCTGAACCTACCTAGTGCGAACCGCGCAATGTGTACCGCGGCCGCACTAGGCCTGTTTGCCCTCATATTGTCTTGTCTTTGATACTTGAGCAGGTTTCACTCCTTTTGAACTGATCTTTGACATATCGTCACTATATCGATCAAACCTGCAATCAAGCACAACTAATGAGCCATTTTGGGACTATTTTGTAACAATTTATAACTAAAGCATAAACAAGAAGGAGCATAAAACACTATAAAATCCCTAGTTATCAGAAGGCTCGTGTTAACTGTGGCTACGATTCTGCGACGTCGGAGGTCGACGAGGATGCTGATGCTGAGGAGGGATTTCCTGGAGATGGTGGAGAGGAGGACAGCGGTGATGGCGCCGAGTGAAAAAGTTGTTACCTTTGTGTTTTTTTTTTGTTGTTTGTTGTTTTTTCTGTTTTCTCTGTACTGGACCGATTTTAGCCGCGTGTAATATGTGGTTATTCGCACAACTGTCTAAATAAAAAGGAGTTTTTGTCGTTGTACGTCCTTTGTATTTCTCCCCCTTTTGCTTTACATATCTTTGGCGTAAACTTTCAGTTTTATGTATGGTGAACTCCTGATTTTTCAGGGAAACCAATTTCAACCGGACTGAGCAGGACTTCGTCGTGTGAGTCTGAATGGACTCTCATTTGATTCGCCCATTTAGGCGAGATCGACTGGTGACTTATTGCTTTAAGCAGATTTGCCTTTGACTCAAACGAGGTTATATAATGGATTCGTTATTTTGGACGAAGTCAGTGTTTGACTTAAGTCGTTCGAGTGGGACCAAACTATCGTTGATTCGGGCGAAGTTGTTTTTCTTCTTTCTTTCTATATATATATTCGAGCGAGGTCGAACTTGGAGTTTGTAGATAAAATCAATCTTTTAGTAAGTAGAAGAAAAAATGTACGACGACGACCGATAGCTGCAAAGGCGTTATTGAGGTTGAACGTTTAATTTTGCGATGGCCTTTCACCGTAGGGATATTATTTTGAGCTGGTCGAAATGTTATCCCATTGTGACTCGAACAAGGTCGAATTCTTTTCTTTGGCGATGACCTTTTGCCGTAGGGGAGTTATTTCGAGCTAACGTCGAAATGTTATCCCATTGTGACTCGAACGAGGTCGAATTCTTTTTTTTTTTGCGATGGCCCTTGGCCGTATGGGTGTTATTTTGAGCTGACGTCGAAATGTTAACCCGTCGTTACTCGAGCGAGGTCGAATTCTTCTTTTTGGCGATGGCCCTTGGCCGTATGGGTGTTATTTCGAGCTGACGTTGAAATGTTAACCCGTCGTTATTCGAGCGAGGTCGAGTTCTTTTTTCTTTTAGCGATGGCCCTTGGCCGTATGGGTGTTATTTCGAGCTGACGTCAAAATGTTAACTCGATGTTAGTCGAGCGAGGTCGAATTCTTCTTTTTGGCGATGGCCCTTGGCCGTATGGGTGTTATTTCGAGCTGACGTCGAAATGTTAACCCGTTGTTATTCGAGCGAGGCCGAATTCTTCTTTTTTGACGATGACCCTTGGCTGTATGGGTGTTATTTCGAGCTGACGTCGAAATGTTAACCCGTTGTTATTCGAGTGAGGTTGAATTCTTTTCTTTTTTTTCGATGGCCCTTGGCCGTATGGGTGTTATTTCGAGCTGATGTCGAAATGTTAACCCGTCGTTATTCGAGCGAGGTCGAATTCTTCTTTGTGGTGATGGCGCTTGGCCGTACGGGTGTTATTTTGAGCTGACGTCGAAATGTTAACCCGTCGTTATTCGAGCGAGGTTGAATTCTTCTTTCTGGCGATGGCCCTTGATCGTATGGGTGTTATTTTGAGTTGACATCGAAATGTTAACCCGTTATGAGTCCCATTTTTTTGGAGAGTTTTCGGGTGTCCTCTGGTGGAGTCTAGTTTTGCTTAATTTTTGCGTTTCTTGGGTGAGACCCAGTTTGCTTAATTTTTGCGTTTCTTGGGTGAGTCCCAGTTTGCTTAATTTTGTTTGCCTTGGAGAGTATGATGACGGGGAGTATAAAACATTGCCGTTTCGCTAACTGGAGGGTACTATATGCGTTCGTTTCATGCATATATTGGAATTTCCTTGTATCTAGTCCATTAGTCGTTCGGCCCGGAGAGCTCACCGATAGGCGGGGCGATGAATTACCTCTTTAATTTGGAGACGTCCCCCTCATTGCCTCGTTAAGAACCTCCCCGAGAAAATCCAATTGGGACAAACCTCGGGTGAGGGAAAAGGGGATACGACTTAAGGGGCGTCACTTCCCAGAGGTTGAAGTGTTTAAGACGGGCGACAATCTAGTTATTTTGTAGTAGTTCTTTTTATTGTCTCTAGTTAGGATGTTCCTTTGCTTGCTTGCCCGTGCGGCGCTGGTGTCTCTGTCTAAGAAAACAACAGAGGGTAAACCAAAATGATGGGATTTTTCTTACCTCGATCCAATGAGTTGGTGAGCGAGGGTAGCCTCATAGCGTTGCTCGCTCTACCTGGTGTTTGAATGGTTGATCGAATGGTGGTTTTTAGATTTGGCGGCCATATTCGGCTTTCCTTTCTTTTTTAAAGGTGCCTTAGCTCCGCGCGGGTTGGGTTCGCCTTAATTGTTGCAGTTCAGAAATCGAGTCCCGGTTCGATTTCGTCTGATTCGTACCCATAACAAGGCAGACATGTAGTACTTTGTTCGTGAATAATCCGATGTGTGTGGGCTTTGTGTGGATATTGGTTGTAACTTCTGCTTTTGTGTAGCAGCCTGATCTGGATTAGCATGTGAGGTTTACTTACCACTCTTTCGGGTGGGTGATTATATTTCATCGGTTTTGGATCTGAAGGAAACTAAAGAATTTGGCTGAGAAATTCCCACAGAAGGCGCCAAATTGTTTGACCAAAAAGTTGGGGACTCTTTTGGTAACTTCAATTATCGATAATGAAAAAGGTAAATCTTAGTCAAGCATAATCAACTTCAGATCTAAAAGTGAATAACGAAATAATCAATGAAAAGTAGGAACATTCTAGATTTATTGATGTTATAATCTCATCTTTGATAAGAAGAAAAAAATGAGTTTACATCCTTCACAAAAAGAAATTGTAAGAGGAAGAGTAGAGAGAAAAAGTCCAGTCCCCCTTCTTCTCGAGAATTCCCCTTCTATATATAGTTCTTGGAACTTTGCCCAGTGTTCTTTGACCGACGTGCTCTCACGCGACGGTCTTTTTCGTCGTTATTCGAGTACCATTCTCACTTGATATACACTATCGATGATTTGACTCCGTGGTTGGTCGTGGTGTTTTTCGCTGTTTCGCCACCTTGGCGAGATCCCAGCTTGGTCGGCCACTACGGTCAGATTTTGACCTATACATTTTTAGCTATGAATATCGTCGAAAATGATGATAAAGTAGACTTCACATGAATCACACCGAAAATGTATCCATCAGAACGCGGTTGTGAACCGCGTTTTACTAAAACGCGATTTTCAACCGTATTTTTGTAAAACGTGGTTTTCAACCGCGTTTTTGTAAAATGCGGTTTTACCTTAACGTCCCAACCGTTAAGGTATAACGCGGTTTAAAACCACGCTTTATATATTTTGGTAACTTTTTTTTTACACCTAAAAAGTATTTTGAATCCAAAAAAACAACATTTCGGTTCCGGACTCTCTCGATAATTCCCTTACCTCATTTCCTTTCATAGAAAACCGGGCCGTCTGACCCGGTTTCACCCGTATACAGTACTGTCCTCTATTAAGTAACAATTCCTAACTAGTGGGACGTTGCAGCTGTATTTTCATTTGTGTGCTGTCCTCTACATTCTGGCATGAACCCATTGTAAAAGATGGTTTTCAATTTTTTATTAGTCACATCAATTTGCATGTGTCAACCAGTAATAAATGTGCTCCGCCAAATTCGTTCCTCTAATTGACTGAACGTGATGCTTTGACAATACAAAAGATGCTAACTAGTATACCTCTACGTTAATTAACATCTACTTGAAAATAATACTAGTATAAAACTGAGAAGAATCCTTTTGAAACAAGTATAAATATGGAGGATTAGTTCTAGGATTGCATTGCACAAAACTCACACTCTCTCTTTAATTTGAGCCCTTTTTCCATTTTTGTCAGAGAGAAAACATGGAGAATAATGTGGGAAGCCAAACAAATTACATAAAAGATGAGGTGGAAGCTCCTACAAATATCACAATCAAAGGGATTCTTGGCTTGTTAATAGGCAGTATCAGTGAAAATGAAGGTGAAGGGAATAAGAGGGAAGTGATTTCACTAGGAATAGGAGATCCAACTGCTCATTCTTGCTTTCATACAACTGCTGCTGCTAAAGAAGCTGTTGTTGAGAGCCTTCTTCTTGACAAATTCAATGGCTATTCTCCCACTGTTGGTCTTCCCACTGCTAGAAAGTAATCTACTTTTCTTATCTTATTGTTGTTAGAGTTTATGTTCCGTGCATTGACAACATATATACAGATTTTCTGACATTATCAGGTTAAATTTATCCCTAATAGCAGGTAACTCTTCATAGAAAATCCGGCATGATAATCATGAAAAATAAAGTAGTGACGACCTTCCATAATCGGCTACATTGTATAGTAAAAAAAAATTTATGTCAATGCATATAAATCTAACCATTGGTATATATACTTGCATTACATGACTAGTGAGTCTCTCTTCTACTACTGTGGTATATTATAAATTTCATCTTTATCTCCATAGTTACGTTGTTCATACTTGACATAACGTACGTTAAGTGTTATCGTTTAAATATATTCTGAAATGCAAAGCTGATGAGAACGTTAATTCCCTCACCTGGCTTTTGTATACCAGGTAAATAAATTAACGAAATAGATTACATGCATGATACTAGGTATATATTGAAAGATACTTTATATATTTACATCATATATACTTTTGGAGTTTGAAAGATACGAAATCAGGGTTGGTGTATATGTTGGCAATTCTTAATTAATTACTCGAATGATCATTTTGACCTTAAATAAATAGGTACTACAATAACTATGTATCAGTGTCAAAATCTAAATATAGGTATATATTGAAGGAAAAATATGTGATTTTCCTATAGATTAATTAATTCCCACGTAATGCATGGGTACAAACCAATGTGAGTTGTTCCACGTAACTCAAAACTTTAGTAGCATAAAAATCGAATTGTACATCTCTAAATTTATATGCATGCATGAAGATTGCCTCAACTTTTTAAAATACGTACGTGATGTCGTTGCTATAATTTCTCCAAACATTTGATCTAATGGTTATCACAAGTTTATGAGTTCCCACAGTAATTAGGTTCACAATCAAATATTTACAGATATTTAGTGTAGTTCACATGAACCTATATATTACACTGTGAATCCGGCCCTGCTAAAGTTTTTTTCTTTTTCTTTAATGGTGAAATGAACAGGGCAATTGCAAGTTACTTGTCGAGCGATCTTGCGTATGATTTATCACCAGAAGATGTGTATGTAACAGCTGGTTGCACACAAGCTATAGAAATTGCAGTATCAATACTTTCACGACATAATTCTAATATTTTACTTCCAAGGCCTGGTTTCCCAATTTATGCACTTTGTGCTGCTTTTAGAAATGTTGAAGTTAGGTACTATGATCTTGTTCCTGAGAAAAGTTGGCAAGTTAATTTGAAGGCCATTGAAGATTTAGCTGACCAAAATACAATTGGCATTGTTGTTATAAATCCTGGAAATCCTTGTGGAAATGTCTACTCGTACGAGCATTTGGAGAAGGTTTAGTGGCTGACCTTGATTTAATTCAATTTCTGATGCTTTTTGTATTTCTTTTTTCCCCCCCATTTATTTAGAGCTTAGTAATTATTTTTATTTTCTTTACGTCTAGCATATTATCTTCAATTTGGAGAAAGAAAAGTAGATTTTATCTTCGACAACGGATTAGATAATATCCAACGGAATAAATAGAAGTCTATCTTCCACCTAATTTCTCAAGGTCAAATACAAGAGGGAAATGATCTTTTGCTAGGATTTGAACCTTACACTAATAGCTAGCATGAATTTACTACAACTAAGTTCATTGGTGAAAAAAAAAAAAAACTACAACTAAGTATATACATGAACATTTGAACTCCATCCATGTTTTTTTGTGTTGACTAATTATTAAAGGAATAAACAAATTAGCCCTTATTTTCCTCGAGCACTAATCTTTTTTTAAGTTATGTACATTTTATATCGTCGGTACAATTTAACTGCTTAAAATAAGCTCTTAATTTTTTAGGTGATCACATTAGACATATATGAAGAATTATTTATTATTATTATTATTATTATTATATGTCAATTTTACCTGATTATTTAAAACAAAACACACACACACACACACACACACACATATATATATATATATATATATATATATGCAAATTCAATTATCTAGGCAAATTCTTTTTTAAGTTTTAAATTAAAAAATCAGGAATTTTAATTTCGAGCCAATTTTACCGGAAAAGGACCAAAATGTTATATTATTTTTTTTTTTGAAAATTAGTGATGTTAGAGTGATTTTATGGTTAGAAAAATCAATTTGATAACTTTTTCTGCACTAATGCTACAAGTTTGATAACCTTCAGTGTAATTAACCTTTCACTTATAACATTTTAGCTTCAGAGGTGGGGATCACTAATATATATTTGAATTTGTTTTATTGTTATCAGATAGCAGAAACAGCAAAGAGACTTAAAACTGTGATAATAGCAGATGAAGTGTACGGACATCTTGCTTTTGGAGAAGCCCCTTTTATATCAATGGGAGTATTTAGTTCAATAGCACCAGTGCTTACTCTTGGTTCTTTATCTAAAAGATGGTTAATTCCTGGTTGGCGACTTGGTTGGTTTGTCATTAACGATCCTAATTGCATCTTTAAAAGCCCTAAGGTTTGTTAAACCATATATCTTCAAGTTTTATAACAAATTATAAATACTTATTATAATCATATTTTTTTTTCATCTCTCAGATTATTGAACGTATTAAGAAGTATTGCGACATATGTGGAGGCCCTGCAACTTTCATACAGGTTTGTTTGTAGCCTATAATTTCCTTCTTTTTTTTTTTGTATTCATTAAGCATATTATGTTTAGACCAATGGAGCGACCGTCTAAAAAATATTTATATAATCAGATTATCTTATTTTAAGATGATTGCAAATAAATCTTATACTCCATTCATCCCAATTTATGTGCCTCTTTTCAATTTACGAGAGTCAATTGACTAATATTTAAAGCTAAATAGAAATAAATTAACTCAATATTTTAAAATTAAAATTTAGATATTCAAAAAACTATATAAAAAGTACTATAAGTTGCAATTCTTCTCATGTCAATATAATAAAAAAAAATTATGATATTGATCAAAATTCACATAGTTTAAATCTCGAGAAGCGAAAAGTGCTACATAAATTAAGACAAAGGGAATAATATTAAATATTACAACTGCTAATTTATTAAAAGTGGTATATCTCCTACTATAATAGGTAGTTAAATTATACTGGTGTAAAATAAATATTATTATTAGCCGTATATATAATAAAAATTTCTTATATCGCGAAAATCCCATAAACTCCTGGGATATTCACAAAGAGATCAAAATGAAGCCGGACGCTTATTGACAATTGCATAATACTTCAAGAAGAACCACACAAATCCTCGCTCGAGAAATACGCCACTTTAACCTTCTATTGAAGAAAAAATTCAAAGAGGAGAATCATCGGAACAAACAACGTTGTACTCAGAATTGATTAATACAATTATTTTTCTTTTATTTTTTTAAAAAAGATTAAATTTTTTTATCGAGTTTAAGTTCAACGCATTGACGGTGTTAAAATATTTACATAACAAGTCATCTTATAGGGTAATTATAGGTAAATATCAATATTGAGTACTAGCAATAATTTGTAACGTTGTAAAAATGTTTGCTAATTCAGTGTTTCGATGTTGTAGGCAGCAGTTCCCACCATTATTGAAAACACCAAAGAGAGTTTCTTCAGGAATACCCTCAAAATGCTTAAGAAAAATTCAGATATCTGTTATGAGAAAATACTGGAGATTCCATGCATCAATTGCCCTTATAAATCGCAAGGCTCAATGGTAGTTATGGTAATTTGCTGACTTCCACAAAGCTTATGTTTCATACACTTTTGTCCCACTTTTTTGCTTTTTTCTCTTTTAGGTCCTTCTACTTCTTAATTTTATTTTCTCAATTTAGGTGAAGCTCAATGCAGCCCTCCTCCAAGATATAAGTGACGATATTGACTTCTGCTTTAAGCTTGCCAAGGAGGAATCTGTCATTTTACTGCCTGGTAGTACACCAATTCAGAACATAAAGCTGTTTTACTTTCGTAGACCAAAATGAAAGAATTGAGAATACAAAAAATTGAAAATACATCTTCAAATATTACTCTATTAGTTTCAATTTATTTGAATGTGTTCGATTGGATACTGAGTTTAAGAAAAAAAGACTAACTAATCTTCACATGTCAAAATACCTTGAGAATATGTGACCCTAAACACGTCATGACAAAAAAATGTCAATAAATGTAACATTATAAAGTTTTTGCCAGGAACTGCTGTGGGGCTGAAGAATTGGCTCCGAATCACATTTGCAGTTGAATCATCTTTTCTGGAAGAAGGATTAAGGAGGCTGAAATCTTTTTGCCTCAGGCATTCCAAGCTCAAAATAATGAATTAATTAATTGATGCTTTTTCTTTACAAAGCATAATTAATTAAATTTCCTTTTCTTTACAGTACTGTTTCATATTTATTGTTGTAACGGCTCAATATCGTCGCCCTCTTGCTTTGTAATTCTTCATTCAAATAATCAACTTAGAGTAAAAATAATAGTGCCGAAAGTTCCACTAAACTCTCTAGCATTTTCACTTGATATGTTCTAAATAAACTAGAAAAGGTTAGAATAAAAAGAGCAGGAAGTTTAATAGTGCTCAAAGGCTCATCGTCTCTTCAGCTTGCTTCTATATAGCAAGTAAAATATGGCTAAAGGCTTCAAAACAAGCCCCAAAATAGTGAATATCTTGTAAATTAGCCAAGGAGAAATTTTTAGAGGTTCTTAAACCTTTGAAAACGCGTTTATGGTAATAATTAGCACAAGGAATTAAGCACGTACACAAACAAATTATAATTAATTAAGTCAATACAAAGAATTAGATCAACATTATCTTAGAACATCTCCCTCTCATGCTCAAGTGTTCAAATGAATCAAGAAAAAGTTTTCAAACTGGCGTAGGTACTAATCCTTTGTTTCGAAAGAGGGAAGCAAAAGGAAATAGATTTTCTTCACACTAATAGAAATTAATCCGCTAAAAACTGTTCGAAAAAACAGACCAACTACTGTCGGTAATAGGCAATAAGCGACCAAAATGCGACCAACTAAGCGTGATCTGAAAACGAATGGTCGGTAGAGCATACTGATGTTGGGCATATTTCTATATGTTTTAATGTTATTTTACCCATGTTTTAACTGCTTTTTGGTGCTATTTGGTCTTTAAAATGCCAACATGTGTCAATTATTAGTTTTATGACTAACTAAGTTGTGTGTGATGATTTAGGATGTTTGTGCAAAAATATGAAAAAAAGATGCTCTAGCTATAGGAGAAGAGGGTGGATGCGTCGCATCCAACCTTGGAAAAAAGGCTAGTTGGTGCATCCTTAGCAGTAAAGTCGGGAGAAGGCATCCGCCTTAGCATCCGCACCTGGGCACAACAGAGATGAAGGAACAGAGGATGGATGCGAAGCATCTACCCCAGCATCCGATGCTGAGAAGTGAAAGCTGAGGCGGATGCGAAGCATCCACCCCAGCATCAATCCCTGAAGCTGAGTCGGAATAGGAAAAGGAAAACTTTGGCCCACGACCTTTGTATACACTATATAAGCCAAAAACGCCTCTTTGAGGTCATAGAACACATTTTTTTGAAGGGAATTCGACCTAGGGAGAGCAAGGAGCCGCCGTAGAGGACGAGCTTCATCTTTTCTTTTACCAGACTTTGTGATTTTATGTTTCTTTGTATGATTTGTTATTTTGCTACCATGTCTATGTAGAACTAAACTTCACGTTCTAGGGCTGTGGTTCTTTCATGACTGTTATTATTCGGATATTAATTTTGCCTCCTTGATTTATCATACCGGTTTATTTATTCAGTCTTGCGCTTAATTATTTAATTGCTTGATCACCAATTGAATACCATCTACGAATCTAGAATTGAACTCGAAAGTGGGGATTCTAGATTGCACATAGGATTGAGTAGAGCAAGTTCTTGAACCTGGGCATCGGGGAACGAATTCGCGGTTAGGATAGACATATACCTAATTGCTTGTAATGACCCGACCGGTCGTTCTGAGCAATTGCACTTCACTAGGTAGTTTTCGGGCACGAGTAGCTCCGTATGATGTATTATGATTTATGTGAATCATCAGTTTGGGTTTTCAGGTGATTTGGAAGAATGTTTCTCAACTATAAGCTTTAAATTTGAAAGGTTTGACGAAGTTTTGAATTTTTAGTATCTGAACTCGGATTGGATTTTGATGGTTCCGTTAGTTCCGCTGGGTGATTTTGGACTTAGGAGCGCGTCCAGATTGTGATTTGTAGGTCCGTAGTAGAATTTGGCTTGAAATGGTGAAAGTTGGAATTTTGGAATGTTTGACCGGGAGTGAAATTTTTTGATATCAGGGTCGAATTCTAATTCAGGAAGCTGGAGCAGGTCCATAATATCAAATGTAACTTGTGTGCAAAATTTGAGGTCAATCAGGCGTGATTTGATGGGTTTCAGCACGTTTGTGGAAGTTGAAGTTTTAAAGTTCAATGATTTCGAATTGAGGTGTGATTCGTCATTTCGATGTTGTTATATGTGTTTTGAGGCCTCGAGTAGGTCCGTGTTATGTTATGGGACTTGTTGGTTTATTTGGACGGGGTCCTGGGTGGTTCGGGTGAGTTTCGGATGAGGTTCAGAACATTTTCATTTCATGTTGCATTGCTGAAGATTTCTGGTTTTGGTATGAACGCACCTGCGGCTGGTTTGCGTAGGTGCGATGGCCGCAGAAGCGTTCGTGGAGTCGCAGAAGCGAGAAGAGGCTGGGTGAGGAAGATCGCAGAAGCGGATTTTGTAGCGCACCTGCATGCGTGAAGATGCGAGATTTGGAATCGCAGGTGCATAAGGTTTCACAGAAGCGAAAGTCAACATCCGTAGGTGCGGGATTTCTGGGCAAGGCTATTTTCACATAAGTGAAGTTATACCGCAGATGCGGTGGTCGCAAATGCGATAATTTGACCGCAAATGCGAAAACTACTGGGCAGAAGCTATAAAAATCGCCGGTTTTGTTCTTTCTTCGTATTTTGAGACGTGGGACTCGGATTGAGACGATTTTTGGAGCAAATTTCATCACAAGGATTGGGGTAAGTGTTCTCTACTCAGTTTTGATAACATTTAATGAATCCATCTTTATTTTTAGCAATTGTTTGATGAATTTAAAGAGGAAAATTGGGGGGTTTTGGCCTAAAGTTTCATAATATGAATTTCTGAGTTTTGAAGACCGATTAGAGTCAGATTTGAGTGAAACTAGTATGGTTGGAGTCGTAATTGAATGGGTTGTCGAATTTTGTGAGTTTTGCCGAGTTTCGAGGCGTGGGCCTGAGTGTGATTTTTGGTCGGATTTGGGATTTGATGTAGAATTTGATCTTTATCATTTGTAATTGCCTTCTTGGGCTTTATATGATGTATTTGAGTTGCTTTTGGCTAGTTTTGAGCCATTCGGAGGTCGTTACGCATGGGATGGCATTTTGAGCATCGCTTGGCTTGCTCGATGTTGGAATTGTCTTGATCAAGATAAGTAAATCTTCTAAACTTAGCGCTGAGGGTATGAAACCCCAAATTACGTGTTGTGTGATTGGTATTAAGGTGACGCACATGCTACGTGACGGGCGTGCACCCTATGAATTGTGATTCCGTTGTTTCCATGGCACTGTCTAGTGGCCCTATTTTGTTGAAATTTGTGTTTTTCACCATGTGATAAGTAACTGAGCTGTCAATCATGCTAGATATTATGTTTAGGATCTATGCTGATATTGTTAGGACCCAGAGTGGTTATTGTTTGTTGTCATCTTACTGACTTCATTGATATTTCGTACTCAATCATATTCATGTATTCATATCATATCTGAGTCTCAGTTGTTATTTGTCGATACATCATATCATTGTTCCGGGTTAACATTCATGACATTGTGAGCCTGTGGGTGAGACTGGAGAGATTGATGACTAAGTGAGGCCGAAATCCTGATGATGAGTGACAGTTATGGGATCGGGCTGCACGCTTTATGATAGCGCTTGCGCTAAAGGAGCCCCTCCGGAGTCTGTAACACACACCCAGTGATCGCGGATGATATTATTGAGGGATGGATTTTCCCTGGACATGAATTTGTCCGAAGTATTTGATATCTGGAGATGGATTTCTCCACAGGGCTGGATTGCCCTTTTTCCTCGGTACTGGGTGACTTATAGTCAGTGTTATATATGTTCCGATGGATTTCCCTCGGCTGCATGGCCATATACAGTACCAAATGGTTGAGCATTTGTATATATACCCGGAGATGGATCTTCTCCATGGGGCCGGATCGGCCATCCTCGGTATTGAGTAACTGATGATCAGTGATGTATATATTCCGGGATAGATCTTCCTTGGGCCGTATGAGCCATATACAGTACCGAGTGGTTGGGCATTTTTGAGTGGAGAGTGTGAATCCATGTTTCATCTCTGGGATACATGGCATTGGCATGCATATATGACATATATGCATAGAGATGCATTATTCCTCATATTGTACGGTATCACGTCGTTCATGATTTCTTTTACACACATTGATATGTGGCATAGAGAGGTATTTCACACTTGGAAAAGAAAATGAAACATCTTATTTATTGTGGAAAGGATTTTTGGGAAAAATTTACAGTTTTCAAACTATCTCGTATTTTTCGACGATTTTGGTAAAGGATTCGGGTTCTCGCTGATGTTCTTGAAACGCGGAACAATTTTCGGAAAACTGTGCAAAAGCAGAACATATTTATCTCTTAGATTATTTCCTTGTTTATATGCTCTACGTTGTTATGAACTGTTGTTGGTTATTGGTGTTGGACCCGATCTATGTTCCAGCTCGTCACTACTTTCAACCTGAGGTTAGGTTTGTTACTTTTTGAGTACATGGAGTTGGTTGTACTCATACTACACTTCCTCCACATTGTGTGCAAATTTCGGATGCCGATGTTGCTGTGTTCGACGGGAGCTGGATTGGAAATGTACCTGCGTCCCTGTTGTGGCTGCATCTTGTTCATGGTAGCCTTAGATTCATAAAACTCTATATGTACATTTTGAACATATGTATTTATTTCATACCAGCTTATTCTAATCTTAGAAGCTCATGATTTGTACTACCAGTCCTTGGCAAATATATAAGATTTAGATAACTCTCTTGTTTAAACCGTCTTACTGAATATTATTAGAATCGGAGAGTACAGTTGGCTAACCTAGCGGGTTGGGTTAGGTTCTATCTCGACTAGTGAATTTTGGGTCGTGACAGATTGGTATTAGAGCTCGAGGTTCATAGGTTCTACAAGTCATGAGCAAGTGTCTAGTAGAGTCTTGAGGATCGGTATGATGAAGTCCATACCTATCTTCGAGAGGCTATAGGGCATTTAAGATAAACTTCTAATTTTTCTTTCTTTATCGTGCGACATTGATTCAGCTTGAAGCGTAACTCTTGAATTCCTTCCATGCATTCGTATGCGCATATGAGCGCTCGGTATCAGCTGTGCATAGACGGCTTATGATTCCAGGGATGAGGTGCGAGA